ATTAGAACTGGACTCAGAAGCTGAATCAGTTAAAGATTGTATGATTAAATGGGCTCAAAATATAGGAGAAACAATACCTATGGACACTTGGGAGTTGATCTGGGTGAGAAATGTGAAGTTTACACAAGCTCAAAATTTACGTGAGAATTTTTATAAAATGCTTTATAGATGGCACTTGGATCCTTCAACTATGTCTCGTGAATTATGAATCCAAGTGTTGGAGGTGTGGACATCCAGATGCAACTTTTTTTCATATGTGGTGGACGTGTAAGGTTATTAAGGCCTTTTGGATACAATTGTGGTGGAACTTACAGCAAATTTTTAAAAAAAGGATTATTTTTCTCCCACAGCTGTGTCTTTTAGGTATTGTGCAAGATTTAGATGCAAAAGAAACAAACTTGATGCTTTATTGTTTAACCGCTGCTCGTTTGCTGATAGCTCAAAATTGGAAGAGCCCAACTCTGCCTACAATGGAAGACTGGAGATTGAAGGTTTCGAATCTTGCTGAAATGGCAAAGATTTCGGCTTATTTGAAAAATTATTCGAATGAACAATTTTTATCAATATGGAGAAGATGGATTGTTTATATTCAAAAGAAGCATAGAGTGGTAGAATACAATTTAGGTTTTTAGATTTTTTTTATTATTTTATTTACTCTTTCTATCTTTTTATATAATTAAGATATATTGTGGAGTTAGAGATATTAGTATTTGTTTACTTATATATGAATATTATCCTGGGATTAGGTTTGGGAAGTCTGGGGGGTGGGTGGGGGACTTTACTTGTTTTTGTGCTTATTTATGCTTATGATTGTTTTTTATGATGAAAAATAATAAAATTTCTTTGGAAAAAAAAAAATTCAAAGGAAAAAAAAAAAAACCCAGAATCAGCATTAGACTGAAATGAAAAATTTTCTATGAAATCCAAGTGTTAGCTGTTAATCATGTAACACAAAAAGTCTGGTGGCACCTTTTATAAGCCAACACACTTTATTGAAAGCCGCCAGTTTTTGAGAGCTACACCTCTGACTTAATCCCTTGGTTTCATGAAATGTGACATGTTTTGAAGCCTAAAAATACACATGTGGTGTTTTTGATGGTCCTCATACACATGGGGACTTTGGTAATTTTCCTTTAAGAACCAAGGAGCGTAAACCATCAAGCCTGGTTCCTATGTAGTTGAGGTTAAAGTAATTATCTGCCCATTTCTCATCTGGAATACAGTAAGTTTTGAAAGCTTTACAGTGAGCAAGACAATGGAATGATCATAGTAGTAGAGGTCATGTTATCTGTTGCATGAGAATAGCTACCTTGAATCCATGGCTTGAAGAGAGACTAAGTATATGGTTATCTAAGTAAGAGCTTAAGAAAATGAATGATATATATCATTCTAAAGATGGATTAAGAAAACCATATCCAAACTTTTTGTGTGCATCAGGAATGGGAATGACAAGATCACTAGCATCTAAGAGAACCAAAGACGACTTAATCTTCAAGTCCAAGTTAGAGGTAACTCTATAATCTTGCTCTCCAAAGTACAATCTCAATTAAATTTTCTATAAGAGTCTGCTTTCAAGATAATGTCTATAAATCACTGTAGGGGTATTTATAAATTTAAATCAGGGTATTTATAAAATAACTAACAATGATTTATAGTATTTTCCCTAGTATCTATCTCTGACTGACAAGCTTGTTTTCTCTCTGCTTTAGCTGTGTGTTCACCTCTTATGAATATAAGGACAAGAGACTAACAGTGCATCAGCAAGTTCCATTAAATTGCGTTTATTAAACCAGAATGAAATTCATTTGGCTCTGAAGTTATGCATTCATTTAAAGCACCCATCTATTTATGTATTCATTAAAATAGTTCTAAAGCACCCTTCATCAAATGACAAGAAAGCAGTGTACAAAATGGAACCCCAAATGTATAGTCATAATGAAACAGAAGAGAATGCAATAATAAAACAACTTGAAAGACAGATTAACCAATTGCCTTTAGCCGTTATATGACAAGCAGGTATAATGTGATCCGCTGTAAGGACCTGCCTCAGTTAAGCCTCCCAAGAAAGCAGAACTCTTGAAACTTGCATTGTCTCAACAGGAATGTTTATTGGAAGGTATTGATAGCAGGATAGTAAGGCAAGATCTGAGGATTTCCTGCGTGAAATGTTACATTAAAAGAGCCCTTTCAAACCCCATCCCAACTGTCTATCAGGCTGGTTTGAATTGAGCCAATCCATAGGTGTTAAGTTGTTGTGGGAAAGAACTGATAAGGTGGTGTTCTCAAGGATGTCAGGTTTCTCTGTGCTATTTCCCCTCCGCCTGGAGATAAGGCAGATGGCCAGAGGCACATTCCTTTCACACCCCAAGAAAGCTACTTCAAAGAGGATAGAACAAAGCAAAGGAAGTATACAGCAGAACACCCTTAGGCCTCCCCTTCCCCCAATAGAATAGCAGAAGGTGAAAATGAGGGCATAGGAAAGAAATACAAAATACATTGGAGTTCTGACATCCTCTCCATTTTTAGGAATAGCTGTATCTACATGATGAATTGAGCCAATGGTGAGTTTGCTGAATTAATTTTTTTCTAAAGAACTTTTCAAAAGTCATTTGAGACAGAAATTAAAATGAAAAACAAGAAGACAGCCACGAAGAAGGCACACCTCCAAAATCCCACCAGACAGCAACATTTAAGGGAAGGGACCTAAAGATGCCCAGCCTATCTGATCTGGTTGGATGGGCAGGTACCTTCATGGAAAGGCAGTTCCATAACTAACTTTACCCCATGTTATGTAGGGCTTTAAAAGTGATAAAAGTGTACCGGAAAAACAACTGAAAGCAGTGCAACTTATGTATCAGTGGTGTAACATGGGTGAAATATTAAGCACACAGAACTTTGCATGCTGCTGCATGCAGCACCAGTTACAGGAAATATTCAAGGGCAGCCCCATGTAGAGCATGTTACACATTTAAGCTAAGAAGTGATAACCCAGGAGTGAGCAAGGCTCCCAGCTCTAGGAAAGAGTGCAATGACACACAAGATGAACTTGTGCAAAATCCTTCCCTAGTCATGACTGCCACCTGCTCCTATAGCAGGACCACGAGTCTAGGAGACCCAAATTGCCTACCAACTCTGTTGGAGAGAGTGCTACTTTATCAAATACGACAAATCACCAGGCCCCCAAGCATGGATAAAAGCCCAAAGCCATTCTGTCTTGCCAAGGTTGAGTTAAAGCTGGTTCGTCCCCAGGCAGGCACTGGGTAGACAAGTGAATGGCATCACTTGCTCAGTATGAGGTGTTTAACTGTAGTATCATCCACATACAGAAGACACCACCTTCCATTCTATAACCATTTCCTATTTTTAATAAATGTATTTATCCATCACTTACCTTCACTTCCACATGGGCCATCAGAACAGCAAAGTTGGTTAAGTGATTACAGGAACATGTTGTGTGAGTCTTGTTTGTTGTGAGGAGCCGACAACCTTGAGTTGACCAGTATCCTGTCATTGTGCGTTTAGAATAACTCCAGAATGAACAGTTAGGGTTGAAATTTTCTTCCGACTGCTATAGGGAAGAAATAGATGAAGAAGTACTAAATTAAATCATCTCTGTTCTTCTAACCATTAGCAGCAGAGGGTAATGGACGTCACAGGAACATTGCTATTCTCACTTTTATAAATTATCCCTTGCCCAATTATTTGATTTGTTTAGAGCTAAAGTCAGCTCTGCAGAATTACTTCATTTCTATTACAAAACAATTATAAACCCCAAGTGCTTTATGAAGATTTTTTTTTTTAAGTAGCTAAGATAACCTCAAGGAGGGGGGTTGGCTTTTCCTGAAAAGTGTCATATATTGTGGGTAGGGGAGGAAGTGAACACTTTCTATGATGTTTTCAGGAACAGTGACAAATACCCCCCCACCCCACCCCAAATGTGAGACTTTCTGCCAGGGAAGCAAGTCCTCACCTTGATGTGTCTGACAGTGAACACAACAGGATCAGCCAAGTAAACCTTATTGCTGAACTCTTTATTAATTGCTGCTGTGATGATGGGAGAATTCACTATGACAGAATGATTAGTAGACATGGCTTCCATCCCTAATTTCATGCTGGCGTTCTCTGTGGACAGATAAGGGCCCAGATTGTTGTATAGGACAAAGGCCACTCTGATTTCACCTGAAACAGAAAATTTGGTAATAGATTAAATCAGTTCTCAGAATTTCTAATTCACAATCTTTTGCTCTATAACAAAAACATTCTCTTAATGGGGTTTAAAAAATTGCAGAACTGGTTGCAGGGTTGGTGGTGCAGCAACCTACTAATATGAACAAAGTGGTTAATGTAAGTAATCAGAGTTGCTGTACATATAATCACAATAAAGATAGTTCTAATACAGCCATATATAAAGATGCGCTACTTTGTAACATTGCAGGCTCAGTGTGAGAGTTATTATCTAGATCTTGGTACTAATTAAAATAGGAATTTGGTTACTTTTCCAGCATTAAAAGCAATTAGACATATATAAGCCTATTGATTCTCAGGCTCAGCCATGAGATAATCTGTGTGTGACTTAGAGGGGCTTTTTGGAAGGCATATGCATGACAATTTGCACTCCTCTGTCAATTTTATAAACGTGCCTTCTTAATCAAACTATAATCCTCCCCTATTCCCCCAATTGAGGTATTTGCAGGAAAACATGCACATTTTTCATTACTTTCAACCTCAGTAGCAGTCACAAGCCCAGCGACTCATTTAGCATTAGCAAACTACTATTTACTGCACCAGTTTAGAGGTGTCTGTCTTTTACAACTAGGGTAAGTCTAGGTGCTACCAACTATCACTTCCTTAGTTTAGTAGTTCAGTCTTAAGCTCAAACCCTCAGGATAGGAGGGCTAAGAAGTGACTTAGGACGAAATAGGATAAACAAAAAGAACCCACTCATTAATATTTATGCCCCTAATGGTACCTGTGAACAGAAGAAAAGTGCTGCGATTTCAAAGCAAAGTTGTAATTTGTAAAGCTGGGAAAATAATGCCAGTTTGATAATTTGGTCTTATTTACATTTCCTTTTTGCCTTCTCTTTAGTCTTTTGCTAAAAGCCAACATGAAGATTTCAGTTCTAGTTGGTGTTTATCACGATGGTATTTATCAGGTCAATTAATACTGGCCAATGACAACAATAAAGTTAATGTGTTGTGGGGGAAAGAAATATTGGTGTTTTGGAATGGAATAAAGGCATCAGGTTCTCTTCCCCAAAGAACCAGATATGTATCCAGCCCCTTCATCCCTTTCAAAAACACATTTTTAATTTTTAAAAAAGTCTGTATGTCCTTGTTTTAACAAAAAAGTAGCAGTCACGAAGCCAAAATAGTCAGAAAATGGAATCCGAATCACCACAGACCATAAATAACTATAAAACAAGAAAGGATAGAGAAAATATAAAACAACACAAAACACACTTCCCGAGTATGCTCTTCCAATTTCAAAGCCATAATAGCAAAGCTACATCTTGGGTTAATAGGTTCCCAATCATAACAGATATGTCCATATGGGAAGTAAATGTAAAGTAAATAGAAACCAGGTTTCTAGCATATAGTACTGCAAAAGCATTGCTGCTGCTTGCCAAAACCACTGAATGCGAAGCTGGTCATAATGATGTACAGTATGTGAGGTGCTTTCTAAAAAATGAAGATATTGTGGCTATCTGTGCTTTCTCAACCTTGGCAGCTTTAAGGTGAGTGGACTGCAACTCCCAGAATTCCCCAGCCTCCTCTCCAATAAGGTTGCCAAGGTTGTTAAACAATGGGAATGATGCTGTATATCACAAGTGTCAAACTTGCTGCGTCACGTGACGTGTTGCGACGTATTGCGACTTTTTTTTGCATTGCTGGAGTTGGGGTGGGCGCGGCCTCTGTATGATGCAACCGGCCTGCGGGCTAGCAGTTTAACACCCCTGCTGTATATGATTTAAACAAGCATTTCTTAAATTCTGGTCAGTCTTTAATCAAATTACAGAAATGATCACACAGTGTTGTAAGCCTAAATAAAAAAAAAAAAACTTATTTGCCTTTTTTCCATCACCCATACTGTGCTCAGGAACATCTTTAAAGTTCTATGCATTTTGGTGCATATATTTCCTAATATATATGTTTTCAATGCAACTTCATTTAATATACCGTATTTTCTGGCGTATAAGACGACTGGGCGTATAAGACGACCCCCAACTTTTCCAGTTAAAATATAGAGTTTGAGCGAGAGAGAAGGGGGGGGGAGAGAAAACTTGATGAGTAATATGCCAAACCACATGTGTAAAGGAATAAAATAGAATACCCATATTTTCTGGCGTATAAGACGACTGGGCATATAAAACGACCCCCGACTTTTGAGAAGATTTTCAGGGTTTAGAAAGTCGTCTTATATGCCGGAAAATACGGTAGATAGTTTGGCAAGCAACCTTCTTTTGATAATGCATTCTGGACACATTTTTCCTAATAAATGGATTTTTTTCAATCAATCTACAAGACAAATTGCAGAGAGATGAACTGTGGTCTTTGACTAGTCTACTTTAGAGACAAATGTTTTTAGTTCAAACTATGGATAAATTTTTATTTAATAATGCTCTTTCCTTCTATGCCTTTTCGCTGCGATCAAATTTAACATTACTTTCCTCTTTCCTACATTTCTGCTATTATCAACTTCCTTAAAAAGCTTCCTTGTACAGTTGGTTGGCCACTAAGAGAGTAAGCTGCTGGACCAGATGAGCCAGAACTCTGATTCTGCTGAAAGAAGTCCAGATAATTTGTCCCTGAAGCTATAGCCTGATCACTTGTTCAACAAGATTCCTCAAAAAAGGGAAAGATGGAGATAGGACAAAAATTGTACCTACCATTCAGTGCAATAATGGCTTCTAGAAGAGGGGGCAGATTCTTTAAGCACAGATTGGATCATCTCCTTGAAGGAGCACAACCGGAACTTAACCATACAGCATCTCCTTGGAGGCCTTGACCAACCAGGAGAGACATGGATCTAATACACAGGTAGACACACTTGCTGCTCCAAGGATTCTGTTAATTTCCTTGGGACCAAAAGACTCAAACTCTTCTCAAATAACAAGCCAGACTAGTCTCAGTCAACTCAATAGGTCTGACATAGGTGAAGTCCAGCTCAGAGCAAATCCAAGCAATTTTGTTTGATGGCTGCTCAAATAGTTTGCCACAGGCTCCTTTCTAGAGCCGAGAGAGAGTGACTTAGGCACCAGGCCAGTGTCCAGCTGGTCTCATGCCTAAAGTGGTCCTGAACCCCAGGGGCACTTCTGATTCTGGATGCAAGGAAGGCAGATTAAAATAATATAAGTTGAAAAACTGTAAGTGTAGCAACAAAATCATGGTGTCCTGGTTGAGAGACTGCTATGCAACAGGACCCCTGGTATGGGAACAGGAATACTGACCTTGGAAGGATGGAAAGCTGAGTCAACCTTGAGCCAGTCAGGATCGAATTCTATTATGATATATAAAACCTTTCCTTGTGTTATTCATGTCTCAATATACTGTATGTACCTTCTAAGAACTGGAGTGGTTAGAATTGCAGGCTAACTCTGCCCATAGCCAGGAGATATTTAACCATGTCCTTTTTTTTTCTTGGATGGCAGGGCAAAATACAATAGTGAGAGATTACAAACAACTAGGCAATAAAGTTAAGAAGCTAGGAGCACAAGTAGTGTTCTCATCTGTACTCCCAACGAAAGGCCAATACCCACTGAGAGAAAAAATAATTCTAGAAATAAACCATTGACTAAAGGGTTGGTGTCGCCAAGAAAACTTTCCTGGATCATGGACTGCATTTCCTATGCGAAGGACTCCTAGCAAGGGATAGGCTGCACCTCACGAAAACAGGGAAAAATGTACTGGAAAAAGACTGGCCCAACTCATCAGGAGGGCTTTAAACTAAAATTGAGGGGGGAGGGTGACCAAATGCAATCATAAAACCAGCAGACCAGACCAGCACAATACCACTGAAAAAGAAAAACAAGAAATTCAAGAGAAAACCAGCATGGCTGCAAAAAGATCTCTCTGACAAACTGAAAGACAAAAAGGACAAATACAAAAAATGGAAAGAGGGGCACGTAATTAAGGTCGATTTTCAGCAGACAGCCAGAACATGCAAAGATGAAGTCAGGAAAGCAAAGCCTCAGAACGAACAAAGACTTGCAACAGAAATCATGGATAATAAAAAAAGTTTCTTCCAACATATTAACAACAAGAAAAAAGTCAAGGAAACTATAGGTCCACTAAAGAGAGAAGATGGCAAGGAAATAACAGGCAACAGGGAGAAAGCAGAGCTGCTTAACTCATACTTTGTGTCAAAATAATAACTTTCTTGTGGGAACCAAGGTCAAGCAGCTTAAGTGGCGGGCTGGAGCTACCGTTAGGAAGCCCGCCAAAGGTGTTAATTGGGGATTGTGATTTATGACACATCAATGGGTGGGGAGTTCAACTTTTACTTTTTAATCTTTTGGGGGAGATAACTTTCAGTCTTGGTTTCACCTTTGTTCGTGCTGATATCATGTAGCCATTAAAATTGTTCTTTGAGAAAAGCAATTGCCTCAGAGTTCTTATTTCTTCTGGTCTCATTAACCATGATATTAAACCAAGACTCCAAATTTCATTTATCCATGGGGTCCTGAGCCTCAGTCACCTACCCAAACCTTGGGAGAATGACAAAGACTCAGGGAAGATGCAGAGATGGAAAAGAATCAATCCCAAGCCTGGGGGCAGCTGCAGCGGATGAGACACAGGCTGCTACTTTTGTGGAAAGTGTGGTCCTGGCAGCTGGAGCCAGACCAAAGTGCCATGAAGTCCCAGTGGAGAGGCTGACTCAGAAGGAAGAAGTCATCATCCTTGCGGGGACTTGGTGGTCCGACGCTGCACTGCCACTAATGAGTACACTGAAGGCTACAGAGGTTGAATTCCCACTGATTTCATCACAAGGTCTCCCTTCATCTGTACCGATGAAGGCAAAGTGGCCAGCAGCATGGGACAAATCTGGTGAGTGGAAGTATCTGATGGCCATCCACAGCCACTCAGTGGAACGCCTAAGAGAGAAGTTTGATCGGCTGGACATGGGCAAAAGGAGACAGGCCACCTGCAAGATATTTACAGGTGGGCGAGAGGATAAGTGGTTGCTGGAACCTCCGCTGGTCTGATGAAGCTCTAGCCCTGTGGTGATTGAGTGGGCCGTCTCCTCATTACCAAAGCCTGACCTGACATTGAGCCCAGTGCAATGGCGAAGCTCCAACTGCCATCGATGCCAGGCCAGTCTGGATCAACCCCAACGACAGGTCAGTCCTGAATATTACAGATATTCTATCAGTCCTAAGCAATGCAGGCATCCCCTTAGCCCAGATTGGCACCGTCGTTCACCTAGCCCCGGTCATTACCAATGCCCTGCAAGCCCTGAGTGCTATTGGTGCTATGCTAGCCCTGATCATCATTGGCGTCCTGCCAGCCCGAGGCCTCCACCAGGAGTTTTCCGACGAGGGGGATTACAGCCGCCCCAGCCAGTTCTCTGGCTTACTGCAAGCTCTATGGTATTGCTGTCCACCTGACCTACCTCCTCTTAAACCCACTTTTGATGGAGACCCCAGGAAGGTGACCATCTTCCTAAACCAGGTGTGATCTCATGTTAATTGTTATGTATGGGCTTATTTGGATGAAGCTGAGATGATTGATGCTGTGGCCGCCAATCTGGAGGGGGAGGCTGCAGAATGGGTGGCTGGTTTACAAGAGGAGCAAGCGCCCGAGCTATGGAACTTCAATATGTTCACACATGGACTGAGAGCCAAATTCGAGGATGAATCCCAGGTAGTACAAGCAGAAAAAGACCTGCGCGATATGAAGCAGAGGGGTTGGCCAGGGGTTGGCCAGCAAGAGAATACATAAGAGAATTTTGAAAGTTGGCAGGGATAGCGGTATTCCAGTATTTGAGGGGCTGCCACAAAGAAGAGGGGGTCACCTTATTCACCAAAGTACCAGAGGGCAGGACAAGAAACAATGGTTGGAAATTGATCAAAGTAAGAAGCAACCTGGAATTAAGGAGAAACTTCCTTTACAGTGAGGACAATTAACCAGTGGAACAGCTTGCCCCCAGAAATCGTGCGCGCTCCATCACTGGAGATTTTTAAAAAGAGGCTAGATAGTCACTTGTCTGAGATGGTAGAGGTTCTCCTGCTTGAGCAGGGGGTTGGACTAGAAGACCTCTAAGGTCCCTTCCACCTCCATTCTATTCAATCTCAGTTATTTATGCCAGCCCAGGCCTCTCATATACAATATGTCTCAGTTGCAAGCTGACCTGGCATTTAGCAGCAGCTGCTGCTGCTGCTAGAGACCAGGGCAACTAAGGATCCAGAAACTTTGTTCTGAGGATTCAGCCATTGTTATGTTGTCTGCTTGATTCAATAAAGCAATGTGACTTACATTAATAATGTGTTATAGCAAGAAAGATAATGAAAGTACTATGATTTAAACTTAAAAGAAAAGATTTCTCCATTCCCAAAACCATCAGTGAAGAGCTGAGCTTACCATTTCGACCGTTCTGCTTCAGTGTGTTTGCTGACAGCTGGATGGTGCTGCCAAAGCCAGTATTCTGTGGAAATTTAAGATCTTCCAGGTTTCCATCTGTGCTTAGCCTTGCAACTTCCAGCTCTATTAGTATGAAAAATGGAATGTGTGTAAATGCAACGTATTGATAATGCATTATAGGACAAGAGGAGAAAGAACAGTTTGTTCAAATCAATGTGCCTTAAATAGAGGGGTTAAATAGGATATATATATACCGTAGGATATATATATATGCCGTGTATTGTTTGACATTTACCAAAACAGTAGGGAGCATGAGGAGCTCACCAAATATTACCTTTCAACAATTTTTTCCCATTGCAAATTGGACATGGGAAAATTGGCTGGAAGAAGGAAGTCAATTCCTAGCAAGAATTTCACCCAGTGAAACATAAGTAAGGATGTAGTGATAGCCGAAGGACAAAAAAAGGTAGTGATATTCTTTCTCTTAGATGCTTAGCTGGCAAATGAACACAAACTTTTGCAAGGCAGAGAGAATTCATTAAACATGCTTATATTCAGGTTCTGTGATATAGAAATTTGCATATAAAGCTCAATGTGGCAATATCTTCTGTATTTTTGAATCTTAAGCAATATAGGAGGGTTATCTTTTTGGCATGACAGAATGATATCCCTTTATCTGCAGCATTAGCCGTGCTTCTCCAAAGGATAAAATGTGCTTCGAAAGGAGCTTAGTTTTATGAGCACCATACAAGTTATAATTTATCATTTTAGACTTAAACACAAGCAAAATAACCAAATCAATCCATATCAAAATGTCATAATTTCCATGATAAGGCAACATTTTGTTCCAAGGACTCTGTCAGCTTTCTATAAAAATTGTGTTTCCACATATTTCAGATATTCAATAACATTCCTATTACAACTGGGAAATTCTTCATTTGATCCGGCAAAATGGAGGCTCATAGTTTTATCCCAATCATATGCAATAAAACTAATTTTTCTCCTTAGCAACTATCCATCACACTGAATAAGAATACAGATTCAACTCATCCTGGCTAACGGAACCATATAGTCTACATAGGATACTTCTATAGAAGAAATTGCTGGAGAAGTCAACTAGTTTCTCTCAATATTACAAATTATATATATTTAACAATATGGCAATCGGATGAGTTAATTTATTGTAGGAAAGTTAATAAAGCTAACAAAATAATTCAAATGGTTCTCATGTACCAAGTGAAAGTTTTATTTATAATGAAATCAAAGTTCAAACTTTTGCACTGCTTTCTCCCACCAACCTGGTATAAGACTACAACATTATCTTTGGGGCAGAAGGGACTATTTCGAGCTGTCTCTTGTTTTAGTAGTGAATTAATCTGATCCCAGGCTGACTGCTTGCAATGATATGAAACCTGATGATGGCCCCAAAACATAGCAGATAATTGGTGAGTTATTAGCTAACACTATAAAGGTTTTCTCCTCTGAACTGGAATGAGAATAGATTAAGAAGGTATTAGGCAATGTTATCAGGGCATATGAAAATAGAAACACATTTTATTGAACAGGTGCAATATATATTTTGTTCAGAGGCATTAATGAATTGCAAACATGCATAAAAGGCAAAAGTGAAAGCTTTTGTACAAGACATGAGTTTCCAAATAAGTCCTGTCCATAGAAGATTGGGGTTTTGCTTAGGTCACTCTGAATGTCAGTGTTAAAGGCCCTTTGTATCATCAATTCAGATCAGATAAAATTGTCCCACATGATGGCCATAGAGCTGCCAAAACAAGACAAAAAATAGGAAATTTTATTCCAATATTTTAAGCAGCAACTGCACATGATAGCTAGGCTAGATTCCAGTCTCAGAAAGGAATCTGATACAGAATGGGACACTTGCCACAAGCTCTAAAAAATTTTGATTGAACAACATCTCTAGAGCTTTTTTGGAATAGAAAAACACCTATGTATATAAAACAGGTGGCTAATGATCCTGGCTCTGATGACTTCCATTGCAGCTGGAATATGGTTATTGCTGCGACAGTTAGTAATATGCAGAATTGCATTTGAGAAATTATATGTCCTAGTGGTAACATCTCTTTGCTGATGATACCAGGTCATCATGGTTTGGGAGGATATGTCCAAGTGTTTAAAAACCTTAATTTGATAAATTCTGAAGCTTTTGATTTTCTAGGAATGATAGATAGAATATATCTTTTGTCCAATGCTTTTTTTCTAAAAAAAAAAAAAAAGGTGCCGGAACTCACACATGTCATACAACCTGCCTTGCCTACCCTACAAGGTTCCATCCAAAAAAGGTGCGGGAACTCCGTTCTGGGCGTTCTATGAGAAAAAAAGCCCTGCTTTTGTCTATTTTAGTTTTGTTGTAGCTAATGATTAGTTCCTCACTGCAATAATGGACAAGAATACAGAGACCACATCTCAAACCCATATATGCTAAAAGGAGCTGCACTATCCACTTATAAAACTCTGAGTGCGTAGGAAGTTATGAAGATTCTTGGCAGCTCCTGTTTTTTAAATCCTGGTTTTACTATATTTTTATTAGTTTTACTTGTTCACTGCCTTGCATTATGTATATGAGATGGGCAGCCATATAAATCTATTAAATAGATAGGCCAAAAACAGGTCTACTGCTGAGCATGGCTGGTAGTGGGGAAACTGAGGTTTTATCAAAACCTAGACCACTGAACAAATATAAAAACTAAGTAGCAGGGGCACCAAAATGCAACTATGCACAACCACCTCTTTATGAATACACATTATAGGCACCCTAAAGCAGGGATCCCCAACCCCTGGGTTGTAGCCCACTACCGGGCTGTGGCCTATTCGGAATTGGGCTGCACAAGTGGCTGGACTACCGGGCCATGGCCTATTTGGAATTGGGCTTGCGTGACCCAGTTCCCCTCCTCCCGCCAAGCTGGGCCACCATCTTATGTAATTTCATAACCAATAGCAAAAGGCATCAATAGAAGAAAGAGCTACTTCTCCCAGAGCCTGGTTCTAAGAGATTGAATAACATCTGTATTTAAACCAATCAAGACATTATAGATGGTTCTGTGTGGACAACTGATATATTTTTCTATCAGGTAGAGAAAAATAGAACACTGAACTTTTGTTGACCCTCCTCTGCTTATTCTTCTACCATAATATTATCCTGCACCATCCATCTGATGTGGTAGAAGTTAACTTGATCCTTCTTATCTCTTTTTTTTGCATATCTTGATTGATCTACTTCAGTCTTCAGTGATCAGGAAAGAAAAATTTCTATAAGTGAAAAGAGTGGCCATGACTGGGGCCAACCAGTTCATGTTTCTAGGACCAGTACTTAATTACAACCTGAAAATGAATTGGCAATGTGGTGTGATTAGAAGAAAGGGAAATGAAATTTTTAAATCAAATGAAGCACAATGTCTGAATCATGGGAATGACTTGATTCTATTTTGTAACAGATCCAACCTGGAATACTGACTTGGTGGGATATACACTAGCTCTCTTCAAATATCTGAAAAGATGTAAAGGGCTGGACACAGAACAATGGGTATGAGTTATAAAAAAAGTAAGTTTTGATTAAATGTTAGGGGAAGAAAAAATCCTTTAAGTGTTAATAATTGGAAAGATGTTGAATTCCCCCTCACCAAATATGTCCAAGTAGAGCCTAGACAGCTATCTTTTGGGTGTGCTTTAACTTGGATTGTTGCATGGAGCAAGGAGTTTAGAATGATGGGCCCTTCCATCACTCAATTTTATAAAAAATATTATATGGTAGACATGTGATAAAGCAATGAAATATTGGAGTAGGATTCATATTCTAATACAGAAGATTCTTAAAGTGAATATTGGAATAAAACGATAAACTTTTTTTTTGATTTAATGGAAAAAGACTTGGAAAAAAAATTGGAACTCTGATGTTTCTATAAGTTGATGGCAGCAAAATTACTTTATGCACAAAAATGGAAGTTTATAATATAAACTAATAAAAAAGAAAAGCAGTAAAAAAGCCACTGCAGGTGTAATCCGTACAAAAGGGAAATAAAATATATTATATGTTTGCAATAAAAATAAATAAAATATTATATGGAATGTACCTCATACAATTCACTCAATACAGATGGATATATGTATGAATGCATTTTTATTAGGAATGAATTAAATAACTAATCAGACTCTTCCTGATCAGTTAATTAATTGATTAATTGATTGATTAATTAAGTCCTGGAAAGAAGCTAATTCCAGGTATTGCAACAGACAAATCTGGCAAACTGGTACCTTTTCTCCAAGTATTGGAATAAAGTTAACGAGGAGACCATTGGCATATTTTTTTTCCAATTACCTCTCCTTTAACTTGGCATCTAGCAATTATAGCATTTACCGTATTTTTCGCTCTATAAGACGCACTTCCCCCCCCCAAAAGATGGGGTAAAATGTCTGTGCGTCTTATGGAGCGAATGCCGCCTCCCACCGCGCCGCTCCGCATCCCGCGCCTCCGTGTTTCAAGCCTCTGTGGCACAGAACTGCTGGCGTTATGCTTGGGCGGAAGATGTTTTCTTTTACAGATGGGGCAGGTGGGCCTGACATTCGCGCGCAGGCAGGACCCCGCCTGCCGAGCCACCGCTTCCCCATCGCCCTCCACTCCAGCCGGCTCCGTCTCCAGACCTCCCAGCTGACGGGCGCAGGTCCGGGGCTCGCCAGCTGACGGGCGCAGGAGGTAGGCACCGCCGTGGCCTCCCAACCACGCTGCCGCAGCCTCCCAGCCGCTTGCTTCTTTGGCTGGAGCAATTGCAAGGGCTTGCATGGTCCCCAAGGGCCGCTGACGCGCTCCCTGCCGCCGGTGACCATGCAAGCCCTTGCATGGTCGGGTGGGCCTGACATTCGCGTGCAGGATTCGACCATGCAAGCCCTTGCAATTGCTCCAGCCGAAGAAGCAAGCGGCTGGGAGGCCGCGGCAGCGCGGTTGGGAGGCCGCGGCGGCGCCTACCTCCTGCGCCCATCAGCTGGCGAGCACCGGACCTGCGTCCGTCAGCTGGGAGGTCTGGAGACGGAGACGGCTGGTGTGGAGGGCGATGGGGAAGCGGTGGCTCGGTGGGCGGGGTCCTGCCTGCGCGCGAATGTCAGGCCCACCCACCCCATCTGTAAAAGAAAACGTCTTCTGCCAAAGCATAACCTTTAAGGATTTTAAGGATCTTTGAGAGGGAGAGAGAAATAGAGGGAGAGAAAGAGGGAAAGAGAAATAGTATAGTACCGGTATGTGCGTCTTATGGTCAGGTGCGTCTTATAGAGCGAAAAATACGGTATATTTAATAATGTTCTTAGGACATGAGCCACCTGAGACCAAATTATCAGGCCATGTAGCCTGAGGGAAATGTTTCAGACACAATGGGGTAAAGAGCTCATTGAACTCTGACACTGCATTGTATTTTAACAGTCCATGATTAAATCATTAGTGGCCTCTACTACTGTCCCAGAAAGTAATGGCCTCACTGATTCAGTCTGTAACCACAGAATAGCTGATTGTGGCTATTGGAATGCCATGTCTCACCAAATGTAAGCATACAATTGACAGCTGGCCTGAAATGTACCATAATTAACACATACCACTTCAACTGATTCTAGATTCAAAAGTCCAAGATATATTTATGAGACAGCCAAATTCATTTTTAAATAATATCTGCTGAAATCTCCTAAGTATGGCTCCATTCCAGATCTGGCATTAAAACCTAAACTCATTTAGAAAATCCTCTATCAAATGGTATGTTTGTTGAAATATCATATATCAAGGATTCTTTTAAAGATGTTAGTTCAGTCTCTTCTTAATAAACATGGTAAAAATTACCTCAGTAGAGAAAGGGGACATCAATTTTCTTTTAGAAATAGTTTTCGTACTTATAAAATGGAGATACAGGAAACATGGGCATAGAAATGGTTCAATTGAGGTGCAAAAAATACATTAGTTACTCAGTGAATCTATATCTATCTATCTATCTATCTATCTATCTATCTATCTATCTATCTATCTATCTATCTATCTATCTATCTATCTATCTATCTATCTATCTATCTATCTATCTATCTATCTACCTACCTACCTACCTATCTATCTATCTATCTATCTACCTACCTACCTACCTACCTACCTACCTACCTATCTAATTTCTACATCACCCTTTTCACCTAAGTGACTTTGGACAGTTTACAAGGAAAAAATATCAGAACTGTGCATGCTTCTGTGGCAAGGCTTCCATACTGAAGACAATACGTACATGACTCAATTGCCATTAGCAAAGGTGCTTAGTAGCAATATGCTGTAAAACACGGGTGTCAAAGTCGCCGTGTCATGTGACATGTCACAACGTATCACAACTTTTTTCGCATTGCCGGAGCTGGGTGGGCGCGGCCTCTGCAAGATGCAACCAGCCCGCGGGCCGACAATTTGACATTCCTGCTGTAACATATTATCGTTGCTTGATGTTTTGAAGTACAATTTCCACCTTCTCAGGTTACTATAGCAATGCTGTCTCTGGTTTAAACCAGGAGTGCAAAACATCAGGTGGGCATCAATTTATGATGGGCATATTCCATGGTCACTGACTTGATCCTTTTCATCTCCTACTTTAAATACCCACATGTTCTCCTTTCCTTTACTCAACCATCCTTACAAAAGAATGCAGTAGATCTCACATTCCTACATGCCTCTCTCCTCTTCGCAAAAATGCTTTTGCAAAGAGGAGAGAGGCCTGCAGGAAGGAGAATTTTGCCATTGGCTGCATGCCTTCCCTCCCCCACCATTAATTCCGCTAGTGTAAGACTAATGGAGCTAATGGTGTGGGATAGGGTAGGCTAGCATCTAGCAATGAAAGGAAAACAGCTATGCCAGTGTCTGAGAAAAAGACGGCCACTTTTCTGCTACATGGCCCAGTCTATTCTCCTTTCCTACCCCAACATCTTGAACTCTGGAGATCTTTGTAAGGTAAGTGAATAATCAGTGATGGGGTTGGGAGGAGCATGTGGAACTAAGTGGGCTAGCAAAGCAGGCCCAGTGCCTGTGGGAGAAATAGGCAGGGGACATGCTGCAGCATCTCTGTGGTCAGTCATAAGGGCAAATGACCGCAGTGGTGTTGTAACATACATAACTTTGGGACAGGGTCATAAATATTTTTGGGAGAAGGGGTGTTATAACTTTGAACCATCACTAAGTGTCTGTCTTAACTTGAAAACTGTCTGTATTAAAGAGTTTTCTGCAAAGTCTAAGCAATATTATTTGATCATTGAATGCATATACTGCCTTGCTTTATGCTTTCTGGCTTTGGAAGCAAGCAACACTATGATTTTTCTATCTTGCATAATAAATAATATGATCTTTTTAGCAAAGTGTTAAATTCTAGCCCATTTCAATGCACTGCTGTCTAAGACATTAATGTGTATTTGATTCATTTAGTCTTTCACTGTGTTGAGCTTTCCCTTGTTCATGCTTCTTACTTTCCATGTTCTCAATGTAATTCTGTCTATGCAGATTTAATTTTATTTTCCTGCATGCTAACATCAGTAAATAGATGGCTTTAATCTATTGTGCCATCCTCAGCTCTTCCTGATAGCACATTGAATGCCCTCCAGCTTGAGAGGTCCAAAATCCAGCACTACATCATCATCAATTTATCTTATTTGTTAATGTGGTTTTATTGTACAGAGGGTTGTTTACTATTGTCTTCTCTTGTGCAATATGAAATCATGTTACCACTACTTCTAGCATCCTCTCATATTGCTGATGCCTGCTTGTTGTAATTTCATGCCTTGGTTCATTATATATTCTTGGCATATACTCTCAATGTTCTTTGTTCATTCCTCCCAGAAACATCTTCACTGCTCACCCCCACCATAATGAGACCATAAGACAACAACATTTACTTCAGTTCACTTTGGTGCTTAACATGAATTTTACTGCAGGGAAAATAGTACAATACTCCAATTTCTGAATGCATCAGTCCATGTGTAACAGATAGGATAGAAACAATAAGCCATTACTCAAGTCTCATGTCATTTATTCATTTATTTACTTTTTAGCAGAGAGAATAAAAGAATAGTAAGGGACGTTGGAGAACTTCTAGTCCAGTGATGGTGAACCTTTTAGAGACCGAGTGCCCAAAAACTGCTCTGGTCTGCCTGCCCGCAGGGCCACCCACCTCCTCCACGGCCCATCGCAGATTGCTCAGGTGGCCCAGCAGCACCATGGCTGCCACGCCCTCCGCCTGTGTCCTGCAGCATAATCTGTGCGCAACAGGGCACGAAGGCGGAGTCTTGTCCCCACTGCCCGATTTCCATGTCCCTGGCTGCGCTGCTCCACGGAGGCTGCGCCTGGGGGCGACTCTCTGGGGGGGCTACTGGTGAAGAGGGGGCTGCGGGGGGAGGCGGGACTGGGGCAACAGCGCACGTGCCCACAGAGAGGGCTCTGAGTGCCACCTCTGGCACGCGTGCCATAGGTTCGCCACCACTGTTCTAGTCCAATCCCCTGCTCAAGCAGGAAACCCTATAACATTTCAGACAAATGGTTGTCCAATCTCTTCTTAAAACCTCCAGTGATGAAGCATCGACAACTTCTGGAAGCCATTCCACTGATTAATTGTTTTAACTGTCAGGAAATTTCTCCTTAGTTCTAGATTTGGCTCTCTCCTTCATTAGTTTCCATCCATTGCTTCTTGTCCTGCCTTCAGGTGCTTTGGAGAATTGCTTGACTCCCTCTTCTTTGTGGCAGCCCCTGAGATATTGGAACACTGCTATCATGTCACCCTTAGTCCTTCTTTTCATTAGACTAGACATACCCAATTCCTACAACTGTTCTTTATATGTTTTAGTCTCCAGTCCCCTTGTTGCTCTTCTCTGCACTCTTTCTAGAGTCTCAACATCTTTTTTTTTACATCGTGGTGGCCAAAACTGGATGCAATATTCCAAGTGTGATCTTACCAAGGTATTATAAAATGGTACTAATGATTCATGTGATCTTGAGTCTATCCCTCTATTAATGCAGCCTATGACTGCATTGGCATTTGTATTTTACCTTTCCAATAAATATAATTTACAAAGAATCTACCGTGTTACTTGTCTGCTTATTGGATATGCCTTCATTCTTGATAACAGTAAATCGTTAGTCTACTGAATGAATTTACCTAATGTATTTTATATCATATTAACTATGCTAGTTAAATAAAGCAAAACAGCAAGTAAGTATGATGAGACCTCCTTTTAGAAATGTGCAGAATGCTATTGAGAAATGCCACTGATCTTATTAACGGTTTCTATAACCCATGAAAATGTGTTTGACATTTTCACTAAGCAGGAACTATCATATTTCATTCATTCCAGCTAGAATACAACATGTAACACGATCTTCTCAACACTGTATTTGTCAGCTTTCATTAAAGATTTGTAGAACTGAGTTCTCCCATATATCTCTCACATACAAATAATGGACTATTTGTTCTCAAAAAAATTAACTAAGATACAACTGAAGAAAGAAGATTTATTTTTGCTACTTACGGATGTTGTCTGTGCTCTCCCTCACAATATCAGTCTTAAGGAGGTTATCTGCAAGCACAAAGGCACTTTCTTCCACAGTGTCCAGTAACATGGTGGCTGCCCGCAGCTGATCACGTGCAGGAAGGTCCCTCCATGCATTTAGAGCTTGTGGCTGCAGGAGGTTATTAACTGTTTCAACCATGGCCTGTAAAAGAGGAGAAAGATGGATTTTTGGCAAGCCCCTTCTAAATATTAGTGAAGATTTAAAAATGAACAGTTACATGGGAGCAAAAATAACACCTTTCAAATTAATCAGGAGGTATTTAATAAATAAAGATAAATTATTTATGATTGCGAACTAAAAAGATTGTAAATTAATACATGTTAAATTACCCACCTTAAAATCTCTACAATAAAAATTATAAACAGAGAGACTTATATATGAGCTTGCTTATATGTTAGCCTCAATGGACCTCCGCTTTTACTTTCAAGTGTAATCCTCATCCTTTATAAATAAAAACCAACATTTAAACTGGGACCAGTCTTTAATTAGCTGTGTGCTTTTATAGTTTAATTCTTCGTCCTAGAATCAAAATATACTTTGTGTTTATTCAGCTAAAACAAGTAAGAATAACAACTGGTGTAGTAGCTGGTAGCGTTATCTAAAGAATAGGTTGCTGCAGAAATAATTACTCTGATCAGAGCTTTACTTTTAAATACATTCTACTTTTCAACAATATTTTTATTATCCTTTTTTCTATTTTTTTATTAATTATTATTATTATTATTATTATTATTATTTATTTATTATTATTTATTGAATTTATATACCGCCCTATCTCCCTTACGGGACTCAGGGCGGTGAACAGGCGATAATAAAAACCACGATAAATATACACAAGTTTCTGTTCTAAAATCAAATTAAATAACAGGCCTGCTCTAAAAGTACCCCATACAAAACCCCCACTAAAACATAATCAAACTACGCCAGGCCGGCCG